AAAAACTCATAGTGACCATCAAATGTTCTGAATGTTGTTTTGTGAGTGTCATTTGGAGTAACCCTTATCTGATGGTAACCCGAACGTAAATCGACCTTAGAGAAGATAGTTGCAAAACCCAATTCATCAAAAATTTCATCAATTGTTGGGAATGGGAAACGTTCTCTAACTGTAACCGCATTTAAAGCATGATAGTCTATGCAAAGTCGCCACGACCCATCTTTCTTTCGAACGAGAAGAACGGGAGAGGAATAAGGGCTATTCTAGGTTTAATTATCCCTTCACGTAGCATGTCTTCAATGATTGTGGTCATGGTTTCCTTTTGAGAATGAGGGTACCAGTAAGGTTTCACGTTGACGGGGGAACTGTTTGGGAGAATGGGTATATGGTGGTCATGAGGCCTTGGGGGAGGAAGGCCTTGCGGCTGTTTGAAAATGGTTGCGAATGAGTGTAGGATGGTTGTGATTTGTTTGGGTAGTGATGTAGGTAATGCGTCAAGGGAGTGGGGAATATTTTCATAATTATGGAAAGTGGGATCTGGTGGTGGTTGATACAGTAGGAGGTGGATATAGGCAATGGAGTCTGTTTGTAGTAAATGACAAATGTGGTTTTAAGATGAGTGTAAGGGAGGGGATTAGGGTCCCCGGTGATGGTGATTTCATTTGTTTGGTAAGTGAAATAAATTTTTGGGATAGAGAAATCAGCTAGAAGTGGTCCAAGGGTGCGCAACCATTCCATTCCGAGGACGACATTAATACCTTCAATTGGTATTAAATGGAAGGGGGTAGTGAAAAGGTGGTTCTGTAGAGTTATAGGGACTTGTGGACAGAGTCCGGAGCATGATAGTTTGGAGGCGTTTCCAACCATGACAAAGAAGTTAGGGATAGGATTGGTGGGTAGTCGTAAATGTTGGGCAATACGCGGTTGAAGAATGTTATGGGTGTTGCCCATGTCATTCAAAACCGTCACCGTGAGGCCGTGTAGTAGGCCTTTGAATGTCAGTGTTTTTGGGGAGAATTGGCCGCTCGCGGCTTGGGGAGATAGTTAGAAATAGGTGTCTTCGTTTTCTGTGGTTGGAAAATCGGTTTCATTAAGATCAGTTGAATCCTCTGGGGTAGTAACATCCTCATCCATCATTAACAGTAGGAATTTACTTGATGAGCATTTATGACCCGGAATAAATTTCTCATCACAGTTAAAACACAAGCCCTGTGCTCGACGCTCTTGAAGTTGAGCATTGGACAATCTTCGAATAGGGAGTTTTGTTGTTTGAGGGGGTATTGGGGTCTTTGGGACTGGGTTGTTTGGATTTTGAGCTGGCAATGCTAGGGTGGTTTGGGGTAATGATGGTGGGAACGTTCTGTTGTATTTAGGTCTGGAATCCTTAATTTTTTATTCGAGCAGCTTGGCTAGGCCAATCGCCTAGGAAATAGAGACAGGTTTGAGTATTGCAATTTCGTTTTGAATCTCATATGTTAACCCAGAAATGAATCAGTTTAGGATAACATCTTGGGATAATCCAACCACCTGAGTGCCTAGTTTTTCAAACGCTGCTTAATATTCCACAACTGAACCTGTCTGTTTTAACTTAAAAAGTTCAGCTTGATGATTAATATATGTGGATGCCCAAAACGTAATTCTAACGCTCTGGTGAAAGCGGCCCAATCTGTTAATAGGCGACTTTGGTACATCCATTTGAACCAACATAAGGCTTCGTCTTTCATATAAAAGGAAATCATAGCAAGTCTATTTTTCAGGGAAAGTTGGTAAAAATCAAAGAATTGTTCGGCTTGGAATAACCATTCCAATGGGTTGGAGTCGTCGAACATGGGTAGCTCTAGTTTAGGAGTGTGAAAGGGTGGAAGTGGTGTGGTTGAGTGTAGAGGAGGAATGTGAATATTTTGAAACATAGGAAGATTATAGTTCTATGGGAAGGGTAATGTGGTAGGTTGAGTAAGGTATGGGGAAGATGAAAAACATCTGGGTGGCTGAGGTCGTGTAGGACCACTGGTTAGGGTTGTTTGGTGAGGTAAGTTGGTGAGTGATCCTGACCCTGAGTGTAATAATGGTGATAAAGGTATGTGACGGGAAGTGAGATTTGTAGCAGGTGGGTAAAAAGAGTGAGGAATATGAGTGATACCTGAGGAAGAAGCCACTGAAATGGGGGCAGGGGTTTTGTGCTGTTGTTCCTTTTGACAAGCTAATTTGTTCAGCATCCCCATGATATTTTTATATCTAGAGTCCGAAATTTGTTTTTCATCATCCATCCGAGTTTGAATCAACTCGAGATCTGTTGTAGTTTTGTCGAAACGCTCATCCATTTGTTGTTGGGTTTGATTCATTGCATTATCTAGATGAACATGGGTTGTTTGGACATCTTCATCAATAATATCTTTAGGGTTAGGTGGTTTGGGTTGGGGGCCATGCATTCACAGGATGAAAGTACCAATTTGATAAGAAGAGTTCCACAATTATAAATCTAAGATCTAGGGTTACCAAAAGAGTATGCAACAATTAGGAGAAGATAATAAAAAAAAGCTATATTTTCCTTCCTTTTTCCACTATAGACATAATAGTCCTTAAATACAAATAAAAAACAGATCTAAGAAATAATTCTGTTGGGCCAGCCCACAAACTAAAACAACATTTTAAATTAATTATTATAAAAATCCTACATCTATTTGGGCTGACTCTTTTTCCTAATGGGCATGTTATCATCTCTCATTCTGGAACGTTTTTACTTCATGATTTATCCCTGTCCAATGCTCTCTGTGTGTTCCTTCCATGAAGAACTTGCAGACAGGTCAAACAATTCATAAAGGCTCATGTGTGGATGGACTTTATCTCTGGCCCACCATCTCACATAGAGCTATCAAAATAGGCTACTCGATACTAAACGGGTCAGCCCTGGTGGGCCTCGGGCTTTTTAAAGTTGGGTTAAAAAAAAGCTATTGTAATGTGGGCTTGAAAATTACTACTCGAGCCCGACCCTTGATGGGCTTCGGGCTACCCGACCCTAAATGAGTTTTTTTTAATAAAAAACAAAATAAAAATCTCATAATATTTATTATAAATAAAATTAAAAATTATATTATTTTAAACATAATATATTTTTAAGTACTATATTATTTTTTATAAATACTATAATGTGTTTTTAAATAAAGTACATGTCTAAATTGTATAAAATAATACTTGAATATTTAACATAAGAGAAACTAGTAGAATACGAGGAAAGTGTGTTGATTTAATATTAATGTATAAGATTTAAAAGAGAAAAATTGAATTGAATAGAGATAAAATTTAGTGAGATGAGAAAAATCAATGTGTTATTTTGGAGTAACACAATATAAGTATTAATATATTTTTTAAAAAAAAATTTATAGTTATGCGAGCCTAACGGGCTACCCACAACCCATACAGGCTAGTCCTAATGGGTAGCAAATTTTTTAGAGTTGAGTTTAAAAAGCTCTAAAAAATATGAGCGCTAATTTTAAGGCTCAAATCCTAGATTTTTCAGGCCAGACAGACAGACTTATATGAGATAGTCCATTTTGACAACTCTAACCTCACCATTCGTCCACACCGTCCACTCAGAATCCTCTACGTCATGACACCACAGGCTTGGACACCCTTCATCTTCTATCTACAAATTTATTCAACAATATTTTTCTTTGGGTTCAAATAAATTCGTGGAATCATATTGTAATTCATGTTAAATTAGTAAGACTGACAAACTTTGTTTTTATGAATCCACTCTTAAATCTTTTTATCCATTAGAAAACTTTTTGGAATGTATGCACTTCTCCTGTTTTATCTATTGATGATCTTAGTTACTATTGCATGTTTGTTGATCATTTTACTCTATATCTAACTATATCCAATAAAATGCAAATCTGATATGCATAATATATTTCACAAATTGACGCCTCCTCTTAAGGTAAGACGCATACATGTACCAGATAAACTTAAGTACCAAAAACACGCGTCATAAGTATTAACATGACACTAATGCATGTACCATAGACTATGGCGCATGAGTTAAAATAGAATGCAAGTATTGACGCATCCTCTTTATAACAATATTTTTTTATTTGAAACATGGTTAGATTGATAAAAAATTTAGAAGGTTGGTTAATTGAATATTTTATTTAAAAAATTTGATTATTTTAAAATAAAAAAATGAGATTATTTCTTAAACGAACATTAATTGGAGTGGACATTATTTATTGTTTATATTCTATGTTGTTTTTCATAAATCCTATAAAAAAAACTCAAATATCAAATTGTAATCGGTCTCGTGAAAAACACTACGAGGAGTGTGTCTGGAAATTAACTCTTTATTCAGAAGTTAACTTACAGAACATGACAAAGAGGAAAATTGTGTGGTAAAAATGAACCTCGACCCAATGATTGTGGAAAATTGTGTGGTAAAAAGAAACATATTTTAAATTGTTGTAACATTGGAGAAGTTTGGTAAGACAACTACGGTGCAGAATGGTTCATCTATATGAACATGTTCTTATGTTCTTAGTTATTATGTGTGAATTGTCAAACATTGAAATAAGTTAAGAATACAAGTTAAGCTCTTACAAGATAGTCAAAAGATTTTTATGCAATTTTTTTCCCACAAAGATGGTGTTGAAGTAAAAAAACAACAGGCAGAGATTCTTAAAACATCCACTCCTTAACCTACGTGTAGGCATAAGATACATTCCTACAATCCAAATAGCAGCAACAAGCAATATAACATACACTATTTTACTTTTTTTTTCTGCATAGGAGAATAACTTTCATCTTGGTTTTAGCCTTTTAGGCTGAGGAGGGTGATATGAAACAGTTTCATGATATGAAACTTAATAAGAGAAGTGGATTATCATCATTATCAACGAGGAAGCAAAAGTCAATAGCAGCTGCAGTGACTGTGACTGTATGATGAATAGGAAGAGTCTATGTACAACTGGAAATTAAAATAAAATATACGTAATAGAGGAATAACACTATTATGCAGTTGCAGCAGCTTGTTCTTCAACAGCCTGTGTTGCTGGGAGAAGGGTGCAAACCAGGTTGCGGTCACCGTACACATTATCAACACGTCCTGATACACAAAATCACATAGAATAGCTTATTGAGTAAGCACTTAATCAAACTATTTTACTCAACCATCCACCAAGGGGTCATATAATTACCTGTGGTAGGCCAAAACTTTGCACCACGGAGCCATGCAGCAGGGAAGGCTGCATACTCCCTGGAGTATGGTTTGGTCCATGCATCAGCCATGAGCAATGATGGTGGATGAGGGGCTCCCTGCACAACATTTTAGATGATCGCTCATAAGTTGAATTTGTAACAAAAAATGCGGCAAATTATCTTTTATTAATAATAACATATAAGTGTCAACTCGTTCGAGCTAAAGAGTTAAAGAAATTGTAAGATCGGGGATCAAATATTGGCTAAAGAGATGCAATTTTTTACCTTGAGAACATTGTTGTGAACATCAACATTTCCTTTCTCAATCTCAGCAATTTCCTTTCTAATGGAAATAAGAGCATCGCAAAACCTGTCTAACTCAGCCTGCAATAATGTTTAGTTGAATCAGATAAGAGGTTACACGAGAAATTGCAAACAAGGATAATTTTTTCACTTCCATAAATAACATACCTTGCTTTCACTTTCAGTAGGCTCAATCATGAGTGTACCAGCCACAGGCCATGACATTGTTGGTCCATGAAATCCATAGTCCATGAGACGTTTCGCAACATCTTCAGGCTCTATTCCAGCAGTATTCTACAACGGAAATACCTTACAATTAATCACAGCTTGAATAATTATAATGATTACTTGAAAATCAATTTCAATCATCAAGTGGTCTAACCTTAAATCCTCTTAAGTCAATAATGAATTCATGAGCAACTGTTCCATTGACTCCGCGGAAAAGAACTGGGTAATAACTCTATAGAAGTCAAAGTATAACTATAAGACCATGGTTCATCGTGCATGAAACTAACAAGAAAATAAAACAAATGTAATTTATGACAAAGCTTGAACCTCCAATCGTTTCGCCATGTAGTTTGCATTCAAAATGGCTATCTTTGATGCGTCAGTAAGTCCTTGAGAACCCATCATGGCTATGTATGTGTAAGAGATTGGTAATATGAGTGCTGATCCCCAAGGTGCAGCGGAGATACTACCAAGTGGTTGAGGATTTTCAGGTGCAGGAATTCCACCGGTTGGCACCTTCATTATAGTAAGAGATGATATAAATATAAGAAAAACTAATCAATGTTCTTTCTTCACTTTTTTTTACTATTTTGTGCGCCGAACGTGACTTGATAACCAATGAATGCCACCTTTGCTTCGCACAAGTCAACGCACTGATACTATACATATTGTCTATCACCCATAACCGGAAAAAAAGTACTTACCACGGGGTGTGAGGGCAAAAATGGTGCCAAGTGTTTCTTTACACCAATAGGACCCATGCCAGGGCCACCTCCTCCGTGAGGAATGCAAAATGTCTTATGAAGATTGAGATGGCAAACATCCGCTCCAATCCAACCTGGGCTTGTAAGTCCTACCTGTAAACATGTACCAAGTAATCACCTTTGTACTGACTTGATAACCATTGAACCAAGTGGTTAATGAAATTGAGTTAAAGTTGAATCGATCATGAATGCCTGAGATTGACTCCTAATATCATCCTGAGGATCTACCCGAAGAAGTAAGAACTATACTTCCTTGACTCTTGGCCTAATGCAAAGTACATTAACTTAAAGGTGTATGGAAAAACAAACCTGTGCATTCATGTTGGCACCATCCATGTATACTTGGCCACCATTATCATGGATAATCTTGCATATATCATCAATACCTTCTTCATAAACACCATGAGTTGAAGGATATGTTACCTACAATTTAAGTAAACATCAAATTAATACAAACAAAAGTCCAAGTTTGAGAACACTCTTAACTTAGAGGTGGTACCATCTATGAAGCACTGACACACACATAAACACCGAACATGATATTGACACGTAGGAACCAGTATTAGTTTAAGAAAAATGAAAGTGATTAGTATAACCAAATGTGTCAATGATAGATTCTGACACATGGCGAACACTCAATGCTACATAGTGTACCACCAATATTATATGTAAGATTCTATAAGAAGACATTTGTACCATAAATGCAGATAAGTTGTCCTTATGTTTTTCAGCAGCCTTCTTCAACTCTTCAATGTTGATGTTTCCCTTAGCATCAGTTCCTATGGTAACAATTTTCATTCCAACCATAGCAGCACTAGCAGGATTTGTACCGTGTGCTGATGCTGGTATAATGCAAACATTGCGGTGGTGGTCACCTCTTGACTACAATTACACATAGACAAAAGAAGTAAGAAACTTAACAAGAATTTATAAAAATTAATCAAAGTTAGTAATGTAGGAAGATCATTGCATTTCTTTTAGATACGTAGCAAGAGAAAACAACACAACTGAGGTTAATTATTATTCGATGAAATGAAAAAGATTAGTTAAATCAAAACAAATGAAAATCTTTAATGTACTACAAGTGAATCAAAAGGAGTTTAATTTTGATACACCGTCAATGTAAAATGTTTTACACTAGCAACAAATCATAACCAATCACATGTTTGATGATTGTGATTGATTGATTTGACATTGTAAAAAATCTTTACACTAACAGAATATATGAATTAAATTAAATAAGAAGAACAATAGATGCGGGTTGAGTATTTTTCATAAAAGTTAAACAAAGTTATTCATAATTTTCCACAAGCTACCATACCAAATGATATGCACGAATAACCATGAGCCCGGCATATTCTCCAGCAGCACCGGCATTTGGTTGCAAAGAGAAGGAGTCAAATCCAGTAATGGTACACAACAGATCACCCAAGTTGTCGAACATTTCCTGGAACCAAATTCGCTTGTTTAGACACAGAAAACACAAAACTATCCTATATTTTAAGGCATTATTGCATTGAAAATTAGTATAGATAAACATTTTCTTAAGACATGTGCATTACCTTAAAAGACAGTTAGTATGAGACGAAGGAAGTACCTGATAACCTTGAGCCTGTTCAGTTGGTGCAAAAGGGTGCAAATCGGTAAAGCTAGGCCATGTCACAGGCATCATTTCAGTTGTTGCATTCAGCTTCATTGTACAAGATCCAAGTGGGATCATGCTGTGGCAAAGTGAGAGATCTTTTGATTGTAACCTATGAATGTATCTCAGCAACTCATGCTCAGTTTGGTACCTATAAAGGAAAAATCAAATGAAATAAAATTATAGTATGCTTACGAAATTCAACAACATAAATCGAAAATTTTGAGAAAGGGGATATACGTGTTAAAGATAGGGTGTGTCAAATAGGGACTCTCCCTAACTAATCCAGAAGGAATTGCGTTTTGAAATTCTGGTGCAAGAGATGCTGCGGTGAATGAGACCTGTAGACAAATAAAAAAATTTAGATGCAATAATGATATCATGGTAATTGTGAAAATAAATAAAAATGGATATGTGATAAAAGCATACCGGCTTGCCACCAGCGAAAACTTTGAAAAGCTTATCAACATCCTCTAACGTGGTTGTTTCATCAAAAGCAGCGGTGATCTAAAAAGCAAACAAGCTCCGTCACAATTCAAAGAAGTGTAAATATAGTCAAACAAATTTGATACAACAATCTATGCAAGACTCACAGTGTTTCCATCTACAACTCGCAAATTGATTTCACTTTTGATAGCAGCATCTGAAATTGCTTTGGCATTTGAAGTCTTAACCTTCACAGTGTCAAAGAAGCCAAGATCCTGAACTTCGAATCCAAGTTTCTTTAATCCAAGAGCAAACACACCAGCAAGACCATGAACCCTTTGTGCAATGGCTTTAAGGCCTTCAGGTCCATGATATACAGCATACATAGCAGCCATGTTTGCAAGCAGTGCCTAAACAAAACCAACCAGAATCAAATAAAATCCTCAACCAAAATCTATTCTACTTTAAAGCTAACATATAATCAATTCTGAAATTTATTAAAAGTGCTAGTCATATGACACAAGATTTTGCGATCAAAACATAAATTATTTCACCTTAAACTCACTTCAACTAAAATCAATCTTATAAAATCAATTCAGTCGGAAACAATTTTCGTTAGAGAACACAACACATACTAAGTTACCTGAGCAGTGCAAATGTTGCTGGTGGCCTTGTCTCTACGGATATGCTGCTCCCTAGTTTGCATAGCCATCCTCAAAGCTTGCTTTCCAGAAGAATCAACACTAACACCGATAATTCGTCCAGGCATCATCCTCTTATACTCTTGCGAAGTAGCCAAGAAAGCAGCATGAGGACCACCATAACCCATTGGAACACCGAATCTCTGAGCTGAACCAACAACGATATCAGCTCCAAACTCACCCGGAGGTTTCAACACAGTCAATGCCAACAGATCACTCGCCATAACAACCTTAACCTCATTAGCATGAGCCTTCTTAATAAACTCACCATAATCCAAAACCTCTCCTTCAGTACCAGGATACTGAACAAGAACACCACAAACATCACCAGATTTGTAATCAATATCCTTAAGATCTTTCACCACAACCTTGAGCTCAAATCCATCGGCTCTCGTCTGACATATATCAATGGTTTGCGGATGACAATTACTAGCAATAATGAAAGTTTTCTTCTTACCCTTTTGAATATTATTACACATAGACATTGCTTCCGCAGCAGCAGTGCCTTCATCAAGCAATGAAGCATTTGACATAGGCAAACCAGTGAGATCAGTAATCATAGTCTGAAAATTCAACAAAGATTCAAGACGACCTTGAGATATCTCAGCTTGATAAGGTGTATACTGTGTATACCAAGCAGGATTCTCCATGATGTTCCTCAAAATCACAGGAGGAACATGAGTGTTATAGTATCCCATACCAATAAACGATTTGAAAACCTTGTTTTTCGAAGCTAAATCCTTCATGTGTTCAATCATTTGACCTTCTGTCAATCCACCATCAAATTTATTGAACTTCATTTCCTTCAACCGAATCGATTTCGGCACTGTTGCATCCACAAGTGAATCAAGCGTATCGAAACCAACAGATTCAGCCATTTTCGTTTGTTCATCCGGTGTTGCTGAGTTATGGCGTCTCGGAAATGTATCACTCGGTTTCAACGCTTCCACGGAGATGGATCGAGATTGTGATGGATAACCAACACCGAGAAACCCACCAACACGTCGTGAGACATTGTTGTCTGATTTGGATCCTCTGCCTCTAAGAATAGAGTTAGAAACAGAGGAAACGTACCTTGAAGATGAACCAGAGAGTGAAAAAGGAAGAGGAGCCGTTGTTATAGTTGTTGTTGATTCATTCTTCCGATTCTGTTTCGCCTCTGAAAGAAGACGCTTCAGAGTTGCACGGTTTGCGAGTCTACGAGCACGTTCCATGAATGCTGTTACAGAAATTCGAAAAAAAAAACAGAACAGAACAGAGTAAAATGATGTTTTTTTTTGTTTTTGATTTAGTTAAGGAAATTGAAGAATAGTATGTTTTTGTTTTATGATTCCATTGAAGTGTGTGTGAGTGAAGGTTGGTGAATGATGATAATATATAAATAATATTATTATTTATATTTATTTTAATGATTTTAAAAAATAATAAAAAATAACGATATATATAATATGAAGGAAAAATGGTAAAGAATTCAATATTCAATATTATATAGTATTTTTTTAAAATTAAAAATTAATTTAATTTTCATTAAAAATACACTACCATTCAACATTCATGGCTATTAAAAAGTTTATTACAAAAATAATGTTTTCTTAAAGTAGTGAAAAATGAAGATGTAGTGGTGGAAAGTGGTAGGTGGGTGGTGAATATGCGTTAACATATGATGGAAAAAGACAGATTGAAGGTTATGATAGGAAAGAATGAATGGAAGAAATTGAAGATTTGAGGATTGAGATTCAGTGGAAGACATTAAAAGGGTTTTGTTATTATATTTTTTAAGGTATGAAAAATTGTGTATGAGGTGTTTGTTTTGGTGGCAGATTCTGTTTCACAATAGGCTTATCTTTTGTGTCTAACTAAGATGAGAAAAAACAAACAAAAGGTGGTTTTTTGGGAGGTGGGATTTTTGTGGTAAATACTTTGGGATAGGTTTCTTTTTAGGTACAAAAAAAATTGATTTACAAATTGTGAATTTTTTTCTATCCAGCCATAATTTTAGGGGTTAATTTTTAAAATGTCATAGTTTTCAATTAATATACCAAATTGTCATGTTTCCAAAAAAATCTCGTTTTTGATTGAACACTTCCACCCTTCCAATGGGCGGCAGAGTGTAATGAAAAAGTCAATCGCCCTTTCAATGGGCGACTATGTACATAGCATGTTTTTTTGTTTTGTTTTATTTTTTAATTCTTTTTAAATATTATTACTAATTTATATTAATAATATTAATATATATTAATATATATTATTATAATCAATTAACGTATAATATTAATTTATACTTTTTAATACATAGTTTATATTAATTGATATCATTAACTAATATTATTTAATATATGAGCGTATGAGATGAATTACGAAAAAACTCTGCATCATTGTGCTCATGGATATCGGACGTTCTTCGATCATTTTGAGGAAGATGATGTATTGTCTCTAATCCCTTATTTTTTTACTAGCACTTTCCATTTTTTTCTCTAATTCCTTTTTAATTATATTATAGTTTCTATGGAGACCCTATCTTAAACTTGAAGATGAAGATCCAACTGAAAGCGATATGTGGAGTTCTACAACATTCATATTGTCTTTCACTTATGTTGAAATGCATCATTCAGATAGGGTGAAACTCCAATTCGAAATTAAACAAGACATTCCTGGTCAACCAGAAATGTGCGACCTCTTGCATGTGGAACCCACCAACGCTTACGTCGACCGGGTCGAAATTAATTAAGGGTGAATAAGAATTTTAATGTACATATTTAATTTCAAAAATTAATAACTATTTATTTTAGCTCTTTTATTGTATTTTATTTTATAAATATTGTTATATATTTCAGTGTACTGTTTTATTTTAATTAGTACTATTTTAAAATAATTTATTTTATTTTAATTTATTTTTACGTAATATTTTATTTTTATTATTGTTATCTTTTTTATAACTATTATTTCTAATAAATTATTATTATTACTAATTTAATAATAATTATTAATAAATTAATTATTATTATTAATTTAATAATTATTATTATTAATGTATTAATATTATTAATATTAATATATAAATTAGTAATAATATTTAAAAAGAATTAAAAAATAAAACGAAAAAAAAATATAGTTGACTTTTTCATTACACTCTGCCGCCCATTAGAAGGGCGGAAGTGTTCAACCAAAAACGAGATTTTTTGAAAACATGACAATTTGGTATATTAATTGAAAACTATGGCATTTTGAAAATTAATCCCTAAAACTATGGCAGGATAGAAAAAAATTCACAAATTGTTCCTATAAGTTGCAGAAATATAATAGATATTAGATATATTTAATTGCACTTATTAGGTGAAATTTTGATAATTAAATTATATATAAATAATAAAAAATTGATTTAGTATTTTATTTTCAATTTAATTTTGATTAAAATAAAAAATAATTTTTGTAGATGTAGAATGAAATAGATGCGTAATGGGTTTGATGAGATAGTGAGATAGGGTTAGGTAATGGAAGTGAAGTATCACAATCGGAATGTGAGGTTTTGATTTAAGTAGACTGTTTCTTTAATTCTGGGAAGGATATTCTGAATTTTAAATAGGAGTTATTTATGGCTATTCCGTGGATATGTACTTGGCCAACACATAAATATGCGATGTGGATTCTTGAGTACAACAACTATTATTCTGTATATTTTGGAAAAATGCAGAAATTTTCTATAAATTTTCTATTTTCTATTTACTATTTATTGTTATATTCCATTTCTATAAATATTATATTTTCTGTTTATTATTTATTGTTATTTTCCATATATATAAAATATATAAAATAATATATAAAATAATATATAAAATATGCTTTCTTTAAGTAGCCATTCTAACTAAGTTCTACTACCTAATTGTAAGCCTACACTCTAAGTTTGATTTAAGGCCATTTAATTGTCCAGACGAACTGCTTTGTATCCTATTTATATTGTGGTTCAAATAGAAATTGCAATTTAGTTTTGTTTGATTCATTTCTTTACGATTTTATGCTGCATCTACTTCCTATGTGACAATGGTGGAAAAATATAGTTTTTTGAAAGACCAAATATAAAATTAAAAGAAGAGATCATGAGTAGTGTTTAGGTGTGCGTGTACGTGAAATTTATAGGTTAATTATTTTACTCATTGTAATTTATTATATTTATTTGTAACTTTTAAGATTAGCAAACTTTAATATTATAACTTTAAGATACTAACAATTTTTTATAATTAAATTACAATACAAAAATTTGATTGTTGTAATTAAATTAAAGTAGCACATGTTTAAAAGAAAAGATAAGAAAAGATTTAACTTATATGGAGAGATATGAGTGAGGAAGGGAGTGAGTGAGTGAGAGGGAGAAAGAAAGCATAAAATTAAGTTATTATACATAAATGCATGGCACAACATTTATTACATAAATAAATTAAAATAAGGGCAAAATTAAATTAAAAAAATACATTTATATTTTGACGCGTTTGTATGATAAAAAAAACGGATAAACAGGCACGAGAGTGCCCGTTTAGACGGTAGTACACACACATGCACGCACATATATATATTTGGTGACCGAGTCCAATACAAATCAAGTGTGGTGGAGTTTGTTTCTGGTACAACAGGGCAGAGTAGACACGTAACATTAGTATACCAACATTCAAATCAATGAATGAAAAATAGTCTTAGTGTGAGAATAAGTAGAATACTAAAGTCTTGGTGCATGAAGAGTTTTATATACAAAAGACAAATAGAGCTGCCCCAAGTTACCCGACGTGGAATGCAGAGAATCCTTCAATTAAATATGGCGACAAACATTCATCCGGGGGAAATGATTGGGTGTTGGCCTCTTGACCGTGGGACCACTTGACCTTCAACAATCTAGTGTCCGTGCTTTGGATTAGACCTTATCGTATTTGTGTCTTTCTGTCTTTGGGCATAACACTAATACAAAATAGTTGCCCCCAAAGTTTTCCATTGCGTAGCAATGTGGAAACCTGAAATTACAGGCAACTTTCGTTCTTTAATGCAATACTCATGACAGATTCCTGGCTAGTAGAAGTGAAGTAGGGTTAGTGAGTGGGTGTAAGTGACTTTAGGAACAAACATATTAAATATCAGTTTTGTCACCAGATCGTTTCGTATGATTACTTCTGCATGTGGCCATAGACCCCTAGGATATAGCGTGATTCTGCCATATATGAGGCTCAAGTGCACTTGAGTGTCGTTGTAATTTTGAGGAAAATCCATCCATGATTTTTTTTGCGTACCTTCCATTAGTTTGGACCATATATTTGCCTATCTTGCTCAACTGTATAAAGGTTGTTTCCCCTTTTAGGTTATGTTTCCACGATTTGCTTAAATTATATTTTTCTTTCGTCAATTTCGATTTTCCTTCACTGAGCTCCTCCGACAATACATCGTCTTGTACATAATTTTTCTTTCAAATTTTGGTACCTATTTTGGTCTTTTGCCTTTTTTGGGTGGTCTCTTCATTGCAGCTTTGACTTCAACTCTTCAGTTTTTCCAGATACCACTTTTATCTCTCTCGTTTACTTTTGTTGCTTTATGTTATTTCCTCTTAGAAAGGCTCAATCTATGAAATGGACCTACAAACTTTATAGGCATATCTAGTGGCGACGACATAAGTAACGCCTCACGTTGTACACGAGTAGTAGATCCATATGTGTTGAATGTTTCTTCTTTTGCAGTTACTCATCCCCTTGCAAAATATATAGTACTTAGTGATAATTATGAGTGTAAGGGGGGCTCTTTCAAAAGTGATAGTGAGCCTACAAATACCCATTCTAACATAAACGCATAACTCCCTATAGGATAAGATGGAGAGATGAACTTGGTTCGCCCTCGCTCAAAGGGAATTGCTCATGGCTCCTACTTTTCTAAATTTTCCATGGTAGACCCAAACTTTACTGACGTGTACTAGAGTGATTTGGTTGCCCATGCATATATCAAATATTTTAGGTCCTTTAATGGTCGGGAGCCTAACGATAGGGAAGTTAGGCAGGACCTTGATTTCTTAGGGCATTCTATAGTTGATTGTGGGGAAGAAATGGTTTGAAAGGACCAGTAAGGCCTATAGTTGCAAGCGAATGTTGCTTAGTATTATTGGGTGGATGTAGAAGTTATAGGGACCATTTTCGTGTTTGGTGACACCCATAAATTGGAGAGTGCTCACCTGGATGTGGGACTGTCC